TCTGTAACAAGAGAAGTAACTTTATTTTCAAAAGTATTTCACAGGTACAATTTCGACATCCTCTGCCAAACCTATTTCTTGTTTGCATATACAAAGCACCAAAGACACAGACATGGATCCATTTACATCGTTATCACTTGATACTTAATATTAACAGAAAAATAATCTTTTATTCACACTTTAAAACAATTGATTTGATTTCCTTTTGCCTTTAATTTTTTTTTTTTTTTTTTTTTTTTTTTTGGGGTCATTGAGGTGACATTCCACCCACACGTACATCATTTTAGTTGCATAAACAACAATTAATCATGCCACTTTAGTTTGAGAGGATTATTTATTTTTTCAATCTTTAATATCATTTATATTTCATACCTTTAACGAATGGGTGTAAAATTTGTTTTATTAGATTGGATCCTTTTAAACTTAATAAATTTGTTTGAATGAATGACGCACGAGCTCCTTACCTGCTAAGGTAGCCAATAAGCTTGGATCTAATTTATATGCTTTGGAGCCAAATCTAAGTAGATATGTTTTGGGTCAAGAATGTTTACATGAAATTTAAAAGCAAATCGTGCAACTTAGATCCTCTAATTGGATGTTAACAAAGTAGACATGTTTTAGTCAATTTAAATGGTTTAGATCCCTTATTTAAGTAAATACGTTGGAGTGAAGAATGCTTACGTAAATTTAAAAGCGATCTCGTACGATTTGGATCTCTTAAATAATATTATATAGCCCAAAAGTAAATCTAGATTGTTGGACCTTTAACAAAGTTGATGTATTTAGGGTGAAGAATGCTTGCACAATTTATACTTGGTTAGGCCGAGATTTGACAAATATATAACATCCCACGTAGTGGTTCTTAAAAAACCCAATAACTTTGAGTTACTCATATTTGAGTTTTTAGTACTCATTCCATGCATGAAACTTGTATTAGAGAGAAAGTTAAAGTGACACTTGACACACACTCCTGGAACCAGTTAAGAGTGACTTTACAGGTTGATTGAGTTGAAAAAACCTGTAAAGTCAAGCTGAATTAACGGGTGAAGAGGTTTTAATTTAAGATCTGGAAAGACATTGACAAAGAAACAGAAGGAGGCTGAGAAGTTAAAATCATTTCAAATAAAAGAGATCATAGCTATTGTGATGTTTAAACAAACATGACCCCTCTGCAATTCAGCCCCCACCATTAAATCCCTTTTGCTCTACGCTGCTGTTGCCCCTTTCCTGCTTTCTGAGCTGTCTTCCATACTAAACATTCCAAGTTTTATTATCATTTCACAGAAAATGTCTTCCCTTTTTCAACAGTCAAATATTTATAATCTGTTTATGAGAATAGCTGCTAAAAAGGTTCAGGGTTTTTAAAGTGACTTTAATTGCTTTAATAAATGGTTAAGTGTGTTTGTTTTTATTCATTAAGCAGATATATATATATATACATAATTTCAAGAAATGATTTTATTCCGGGCAAATGAACATATTTTTATCCAAGATTTACAAAACACTAAGTTGATACTCCTAATTGTATTTATTCTAGATTTCTATCTTTAAAGTAATGTCATTTTCTTTATTTTAATAGATTCTCAACTTTTCACTGTAGCATGACACATGTTAGTACGCTAAATGCGTCAACGTTTTCTTTAGTTGAAAAAGTGCTCATCTTAGCAAAAAGAGGCTCATGTAGTAATGTCCAAGCCAACGTTTTTGGCTTTTTTTGACTGATTTCAAGTCTAAAATCACTTCCGAATCACCATTAGACTCCCCACAACTTCCTCTATAAAATTAATACCTTCATTTGCTTACTTCACTCATATTTTCTTACTACCTCTAATAGTCACTAACAGTATAGTTAATGATAAGAATTTAGAATAAATACATCAAGATAGGGCATCAATTGAGATTTTGCTAAACCTCGGGTATGAATACTTGGTTATTCTTTATTCTGTAATAATTTAAGTAAAACGTGGAAGAAAATCTATATGATAACAACGGAGGCCTAGAAGCTAAAATCAAATTAGTAGTAATCATTGGAGGAGTTAAAATAATAAAATAAATAAAAATGAAAACGAGTGTTTTAAATGAATTGGTTTAGAAGTGAAGGAAAGGTCCTCTACTCCGATTTTGCTTTCTTTTCTTAATTCTAAACCAAATGCCCACCACGTATACTCACTTACCCATCTGTCCGAAGGCCCACAGCTATAGCCTATAGAACTTTTGGGCAACAATATGCCTTTAATTCATTTTGATTTTTATTTATTTTTTTAACAAGAAAAATTTTATCTTACTCTTACAATATCTTAAATTAATTATGGGATACATGTTAGAAAAAATCTAAAAAGAAAAAAAATCCGACCATGTTGTGTTTTTATTCCTATAGAGAAAAACGTGTTTCACATCTTCTTAACCGGAAATAGATAGGAATAGTAATTTTTTTTAAGATATTTTCAAAAACAGATCCATCATAAAAGAACAAAGCCCATAACTTTGAGGATTAAGGATGTGGTTACGAAACATAGTGTTAGGGGTTGAATCCCCCTTCACCCCACCCTCGCTCTGTAGGTTAAAGGATTAGAGCACATGACTATGTACCAAAATGTTGGGGTTTGAATCCCTCCTCACCCACAACGGCTAAAATGGAAGGACGCTTCCTTCTCGTGGTACAGAAATCTGAATAGAAGTTCATAATTTTTTATTTATTAAACATCTAAGTTAAGTAAAAACCAATTTTTTATTATCATCTAAAACTTTTTCATTAAAATTAAGTTTCTCATAGAAATTGAATGGTGAATTAAATATATATAATATTATAATATAATATATATATATATATATAATATATATATATGAGAAGTACTAATAGTCTTAAAATTGACAACCTTTATACCCTCCAACGGATATTCTATTAAAAACGAGATAATTAAAACTTATATTTTTTTAAAAAAAACTCAAATCGACACTTGAATATATCCCTTTATTTAACCATTTGCCACCCCCACTAGAGGTGATTTGTAGTTTAACAACTTGTATGGTGAATATAAATCACATATAAGATTAACTTATAATAGTAATTTTAAATATTTAATTTGTAATTGAATAATGTTAAACGTATCATAAAATCTTATTTGTTTTACCATTCTATCTCAAATTCTCGGTATCATAAGAATTTGAAAACTAAATTTCGTAATCAACCCGTTTGTTCGTTGTCCACAGTTATGGGAAATTACTGAAGTGGCAAAAATTTGGGTTGAAGGCACTATCACGGCGTGACAGACAGCGAATGAGGCCCACTTTGCGGCGGTGCTCGAACATACCAACTAAATTTGGCTCATTAGATTTAGCTCTATTCCTCTCAACTTAGCGTATAAATCAAACTTGCCAGTTGCCATAATATGCTCCACATGGAACCTCAGGGTCCACTCATCATTATTCTAATCAATCATCCACCACTAAATCTACCTCAACAACCATTCATGTTACATCTTAGCTGCATTTTCCTGCCCCTCTATGTTTTTGCTTCCCTCTTTATCTTCTCCTTCGGTGGGCTTCTGTGCTTGTTACTCTAGGGGACAAATAACAATCATTTTTTTTTTTTTTTTTTACCGGAAACCTGAAAATACCCTCCCTCTTACTTTTTTTATTTCAAGCAACTCGATTGAGATAACTCTATTATGCTTCTTTATCATTAGACCACCTAGTGTTGCTTTAACAATCAAATTTTGTTATTCAACAAAGAGATTTTATATAATACATAAATTCTTGAAAATTAGGATTTAATAACTTAAGTAATTTAATAAAATTTATAAAAGAATTAAGAGTTCATTTGATATGACTTATTCGAATACAACTTATTAGACTAATCTTTTACAAATAATTTGTTAGTTTTTTTGTTTGAAAGATATAAATGAGCTTTCTAGTTATAGATTACCAAATAAGAATTTCATATATAACAAATATAAAGTAAAATTAATCACCATTGGGTGACTCGATAGTAAAAGAAGTTCCATGAGATTTTGAATTCAAGTTTCCTCTAGGCACTAATAGATGTGACAATCGTGACTCTTGTTTAATCGATAGTTTTAAGGTTCCAAGGGATTAGTTGAAAGTGGCCACTAAGGCTCTTGTCCAATCGACAGTTTCAAAACCTTAACAAATTAGTTAAGATACACACAAGTGGACTCAGACACCAACGATGAACAAATATGTATATGTATAAAGTAAAATTTACAAAGTAGTATATGAAACTTTAAAAATTCTAATTTTTTAAATAAGCTTAAATATAGCTTATTTATTTTAAGTAATACTTTTAAGATGCAATCAAGTAATTTAAAAATGACTTTTTTAGCTAATAAATAAACCCAATCAAATATAATACATGTGTAATATCAACCAAATTTGACTTCTGAATTACGAAATTACCATCTCCTAATGCAAACAGAAAATAATTATTTACTGTGGGCTCCTACCATCGAACTTCTTCTCCTTATTTATGAATGCCATTCCCTTTTATCTTTGTTTTTTTTTAATTTATTAATCACAACTAACTAACAACTGGCCCCAAAATAAAAAAAAAAGAAAAAAGAAAAGAAAAAATGATGGCGACGGACAAAATATCATCAAAAAAAAAAAAAAAAAAAAGAAAAAAGAAAAGAAAAAATGATGGCGACGGACAAAATATCATCAATACTCATCCAACTAAGGATAAAAATCAACGGTCTTACTTACAAGTTACAGCATCACATGTCTTTTGTTTTTCACCCCTTACCAGACAGAGTTATAACTATAAACCAAACCACAGATCTGAAAGCCACGTGGCTCTTGATCCCACACTTTCACAAACTTACATCACTGGTCCCTTACGTCGCTGATCTGTTTGGTAGCTAATGGGCCCCATGATTCCCATGTGGACCCATACACAATGAACCTTCCTTTGGTTTCTTCATCCAGAAAGTACCCCACCAAACACCAAGCCCCTCCCAACGCTCTTATTTAATCTTATTAGCACTCGCCCCTCCTCTCTCATTCACACTCCTCCTCATTTCAATCTTTGCTGTACTAAACTTAGAGAGGCCACACTTTAAACATAAAAAAGGTGCGTACGATAAGAGAGAGAAGGAAAATGGTTCACAAAACACGTTTCTTTATTGCATTGTTCTGCATTGTTATTGCCGGCGCTGCGGGTCAATCACCGGCCACTTCACCCACCGCCACTCCGGCGCCTCCTACACCTCCTACACCAACGACACCGACTGCTTCTCCCCCTGTATCCACCACTCCGCCACCGACTTCTTCTCCACCACCTGCAGCGACTCCTCCTCCCGTCTCTGCTCCTCCCCCGGCAACACCACCACCGGTTAGTGCTCCTCCCCCGGCTACTCCTCCACCAGCTACTCCCCCACCAGCTACTCCTCCACCTGCCACTCCCCCACCAGCTACTCCACCACCAGCAACCCCACCACCAGCCACCCCACCACCTGCCACTCCACCACCAGCTACACCTCCTCCAGCTACTCCACCACCAGCAACTCCACCACCGGCTGTTCCTCCACCAGCTCCACTTGCTTCTCCTCCAGCATCAGTTCCGGCTCCTGCCCCCAGCAAGAAACCAAAGGTTCTGGCACCTTCACCTCTGGGCTTGAGTCCCCCTGTCCCCCCTCTGGGTGCACCCGGTCCCAGCCTTACATCAGTCTCCCCGGGTCCCTCTCAGACCGATATCGTACGTTCCATTTGACATCCTTTTAGTTTCATCCTCATTGGATCTACGTGTTTTATTACAGATCTCCATTCTTCACGTCTGCATTGTCTCTAACATGAATAGATATCTACACTGTTTCGTGATCACAGTTTGGTTTAGCTAAGACTCAGTTTAAATTTTAACTGTCAAAAAGATCTCGTCGTTTAGGCGTAATGTGAAATAGGTTGTCTAACGTTAGCACTTAGCCGGGTGGTAATGTTTCGTGCTTCGTGTTTACTTGTCTTATTAACTCGGACAGTCTGGTCAGATCTTGGGAGATCTAATGGGAGGAAACACCAAAATGTGATTAGACAGTAGTATTGAGTGCCTAATGTGCAATTCCTGCGCATTCTTCAAAACAATGATGTCTTTACTCCCTACGGCTGTGGGATAAAACTGAGATCCAGGGGCTAGAATTGACAGCTAGCAAATGTTCAAAACTGCAGTGATTGGGGAACACGAGGCATAGAATCCCAAGGACTGCCTAATCAAGAACCGCCCAGTCCTATTTTCCTCAGAAAATAATACTAGTATTAGCGAATAGGTGCTTGTGTGTTAATATATAATTAATTGAGAATGTAGGCCATTCTTTTAAAGTATTTGGATGTTTTGATGAATATTGATAAATGTTTTTGTGATTGCAGAGTGGAGTAGAGAAGGTGTGGATAATGCAGAAGATGGGTGGGAGCTTGGTGTTGGGATGGGCTATGGTGTTATTGCTACTTTAGACATATATTTTGTTTCTTATGTGTCTGAAGTTTCTATTTTTTGTTTAATCTTTGTTGTTTTTTACTCTCTGCCTTCTTCATATATTGCTTAGCCGCCCCCGGGGTTGATGATGGGAGTCTCTATTGCCTGTATTTGAGTTATATATACATTCGGTTGGATTCTTTGGGAGATTTTTGAGGGGGATTTATTATTATTTGTATGGAATTGCTTGTAGCAACTTCCTTCTTACTATCTCCTTTATTATTATTAGCTTGCCATTTCATTCATTATTAGTTTTATTGTTTCTTTCTTCATATATTCTTGCATTTTGTATTAGAGCAATTTCCCAGGATTACATGATATAAGATAAACACAATGTAGCCAAATAACAGCATAAAATTCTTTGTTTGGTAATATTGAAATGGGTAAACTTATCGGCAATGTCTTAATAACCAACCCGGCAAAGTGGTCGGCTCCCAGGTTAACTGGTTTAAAGGGCTTGGTTGACGGATTAAATCGGAGTACAAAAGTTTGAAATATAACAAAAACACCCTTAAAACTCACTCTAAGTCCCTAAGGTTTGAAATCTTGTAAAAATACCCCAAACACCACTGTCTGTGACTCGGCCTCGACAAACCAGGGCAAATAAGGCTTTCTTTTCGGCGATGGAAACACTCTCCATCACCATGAAAATATTCCCCTCGGTCTCTTGATCAAAACCCATATCACCCCTCTCCCGATTTAATTTTGCGATTTTCAGTCAATTCACTCATTGGAAATCACCTCCGTTGCCACCATTGCACTCATCGACCCTTCCTCTTAAAAAACCCCGATATCTCAACCTTCAATTATTCACCAATCATCGTCTCATTTAGGGTTTTCGATGAATAGGAAAATTGCTAACCCGACCCGATGAAAACCCCAAGTTCTAGTTGAATCAGTTGGGTCGAGCCGAATTTTAAAACATTGTTTACTTATAACTTAACAGATCCCCTCTTAAATTATCATATTGGTAACACACCAATTCGTCTATTTAGATCACCTGGGAGCAGGAACCAATTAACCTATTGAGACCTCATAAAGAACGGGGGAAAGAAATGCAATACAATTAGAAGCCATTCAATGACATAAAGATGGGATATCTGGTGGAGTCGGCAATTCCGATAGTGATATGCTTCACCGAATTGGTGAAGGAATGGGTTTTCCTCTTCATTGATTTGGCAAGGAAAGGAATGCCAATGCCCTTAAAATAGGGAACTTGCAGCACTTTTTAGTTTCTTTTCTTGCTCTCTTTTTTATTTTCTGTCTTCTTTTGACATGTAAGCAAAAGTTATAAACCAAAAACTCATTTATTCTAATATAAACTCGAGCCAAGCCGAGCTCTTTTTTTTTTTTTTTTTCCTTTTCTTGGATGGATGGTTGGGATTCACAGTGTTTAATAGTTTGTAAATTGGGAGTTTTTTGTGGTTTCTTCTATATTTGATGAATTTTGTATACAATGAGAAGAACAGAACTCTTGGTTTTACAAAACACGAATCAATAATTTTGGATACCTGAGCGTTTTTTCAAGTGGATGAAAAATAAGTGAACGAGGGAAAAGAGAAGATTAACGCTTGAAAGTCCCACTAATTGAGCATCAAGTGAGCTTGAGCTAGCTCAAGTTTGAGTACCCCTTTTTACACTTGATCTTTCGAATTCAAAATGTCAGGCTCGACCAAGTTTGGGTTCGGTACTGTAGCTTTAAAGTCCAGTTCGAATAGCTAGATACTCAAATAGACTTGGTTTGAATCTAGCTTTAAGATGGATAACAAAGTTGTGTTTTGAAACTTTTTAGATAGGAAAGTATCATTAGACTATTATTTGGGTGAGAAAAAGTCGTTTACTCAAAAAAAAAAAAATGGATGCTATTGTATGCCATTTTACACAATGATTTGTATCATTGACGATATTAAAACTAAGAACATGAAATTTGCCAAACTAAAATATGTTATGCACCAACTTTACGGGGGTTGATACTTATAAAAAATAATGAATTTATACGAGTTTTATCCTACTTTTAATCAATTAATTATTCTAGTGTATTACAAATTTCTATATGCAGTTACTATTAAACTTTTATTGACTGATGTTTTAACACAAATTTCAAATATGTGTGGTGGTATTGTCATAGTCCGAGTCCACCAAGAGGGTGTTTCCAGTAATTTCACACGAACCAAACCGCACCGTTTCGATATCCGTAGAAGAAGAATTAAGGCGGGCTAGATTCCCCCTCACACCCCCACACCGTCACACGATATCTCTTCTCCTACACGAACTGAACAAAACAAAACAAAGGGGATAACAAAAAACCCTCCACTTCCCAAAACCATTACCCAGAAATGGCAATATCTTCCGGCGTTTTCTCCACCGCTTTTCTCTCCCCCGAAACGGCGTCGTTCCTTATACCCTCCATCCGGCCCAGCCTCATTGCTTCCGGTAATCTCCGCATGGTTCGTACTGTGACCTTAGCCACTGCCTCCAAGCCCGCTACAGGAAAGCGTGAGCCACGTGGCATTAGGAAGCCTCGCCCCGTGTCTCCTGAAATGCAAGCACTTGTCGGTGTCCCTGAAATCCCTCGCACTCAGGCTCTCAAACAGATTTGGGCTTATATCAAAGAACACAATCTTCAGGTTTTATTTTTCTTTTCTCTGCTATTATTAATGTTACTAGTAATAGTACTACTTTGTATTATTGTTTGACGAAGCTTAGTCGTCCTTTTGTGCTTTATTCAGGGGTTTGTGTTTGGATAAGGTTGTGTTTGTTTAGAAATGATGTTAGGTTATTTTATTGTGTTAGTGGAAATGGGTTTGGCTCATTTGGATCGCGTGTTTCTTAGAAAACTAGAATGATGCGGCTTTGTTTTTGTGTTTAGAAATGAGTTTTACTTGTGCTTTAGGTTAATGGAGTTTTTGGGTTTGGATAAGACGGTATTGGTTTGGCATACATGTGAGTTTTTATATTAAGAGTAATACTACACTTACAAAGATTTTCATACAAAGCGATGTGGCAAAAAATGAATAGAAGAGTGAATATAATGAGTTTGACTTTTTATTTTACTCTTTCATTCATTATTTGCCATCTCACTTTGTATGAAAATGTTTGTAAGTATTGTATTATTGTTATATTAATAGAAATAGGTTTCGTTCCTTTGGGGTTTTGGGTGGGATCTTGGTGGTATTTTTTTTGTTTTTTCTTTTTGTGCTTGGGTTAATTCCATATTGATGAACGAGAAAAGTTTGTTTGCTAAAATGAGTTTTGTTTTGAAGTTGGAATTGAAAGGAAATGGGGATGTTTGCCTCTAATTTTCTAAAGAATATAACCTCCTATTACATCCAGTTGCATCACAATATCCATTTCATTTCACAAATTTGTTGTAAATGAAATTTCGAAGTGTTGCAGTATATATTTATGAAATGCAGGTGATTTTTGACAGAGCTTTAGCTTTCTTGGGGTAAAAACTTGGAATAGTAGTTTGTTTTTAGTGCCATAATTTTCTTTTAAAACTGGCTAATTTACTTTTCACATGGTCATAAGCTGATATGTATTGACAGAAGTGCTTGGCCTTGTATGCTGAAGGATTGAGGTAATATTAAAATAAGTTGAGTATTCTGAAGGAATACGTTTTATGAGGGTTTTTTTTACTACTATGCTAATGTGCTAAAAGGCGGTGCGTCGTAGAGATGACTTAGTGTAGGTGAAGGCCCATGGCTGATAAAATGAATTTTAAAATCTGTGCAGCATTCTTTTATTGTTTGAATATAAATAAGTTGGACTTTCATAATACACATGAATCATCGTCATTATGATAACTCCGATAATAAAATTATATTTTCTGGAATAATAAAGGTTTTGGTCTGACAAATTCTTCAAAAATGTTCTATAAAAGCATAAAGACTCTATTTTGTCCGCTGATATATTCAGATTTAGATTCAAATGCTTTCACCTTATAGTGTCATACTTGTTGCATTTTTCCCTTGTAGATTTAAATTGGCAAAGAAACTACTTAAAAAAATTTGCCTTCCACATTATTCCTGCACGGTATGTAGTTATACAACAGCATTTTATTTAAAAATGCAGAAACAAGGACTGAAGTTGATTAATTTGTGAGAACCCTCATGGAGGTCCTTGGTTCTGGTATTCCAGGTTGTTGTCCTTGGGTTCTGAGGTTAACCCTGGTAGAGTTATTTGCTTGGTTCACGAGAATGAGAGGGGTTTTACTTTTGTAATTACTTATAAGCCATTAGTTAGGTCTAGATTCTTAGATGGGTAACAGGTTTTCTCCTCTGATCCTCATGTGGACAGCTAGTTCACTTACATGTGTATGAGCTCTTGGTAAATAGTATTCATTGTCCTCTCAAGATAAGTACAAAAGGGATTTGATGAGAGAAATAACATTTTTAGTGATTCACATGGAGACACTACAGAGCTTCTTTGTGCTCTAATGTTAAACTATTGTTATTGGTTACAAAACTAAAATGTTTGTGCATTTGCCAATTCCCCTACCTGTTAGATTGTAACGTTGCAATAGGTGGTAAGGCATGTATTCTTTGTGGATGAAGTTGTCCTATTAATCAGTTCTGTTATTGGTGATTATTCTGTGTTTTTTCTTTTTTGAAGTTATCATTTCTTAGTAAGTGAGATGTATCATATGTTTGAGTTCCTAAAAAACTTGCAACCATTAACTTCCCATTTCTATTCCTTTCTTATGCTGTTGTTATTTATAACAAGTGTTAATATCAGTTATACTTTCTTATATCACGAATCTTGAACTTATTTGAATTGCCATTTTTTAGGATCCTGAAAACAAGAAGGTCATAGTTTGTGACGAGAAGCTGAAGAAGATATTTGGAGGAAAGGATCGAGTTGGCTTCCTTGAGATTGCAGGGTTGATTAGTCCTCATTTTCTGTAATGAAATCCAAGAGAATGGATCGAATAGCTGGGAACCATAATTTGTTTGAGGAGTTTGTATTTTGGTGGATCATACTAGTGAAGGTGGATGTTGCTTTCTGCAATTAGTAGTATTTTTAGTCTTGGTAGTATTGGCGTACAGAAGTACAACTGTTTAATTGAGTTTTTGGCTTCTGGTTCCTTAAGATGTAGGTTCTTTAATGCAATATTATTACTTGTTGCAGGGGTTTATGCATCTTAAATTTGGTGGAATTTATATGCATAATTTCTACTTTTATTTTAGAAATTAGAACTTCTTTATTTGGGTAAGTTACTATGTGCAAGCAGCTTTCAAACCCTGCTCATTATTCTCACGGCGACCCAGCATGATACCGATCTCAATTCTCCGGCCACTGCCCAACTTTAATGCAAGTTAACTCTTATGGTGCGTTTGGTTCAGGGAATATTGGATTACTGAGAATGTTGGATTATTGGAGTCTTATATTACTTTTAAGATTACTAGAACTTTTAAGAAAATGTGTTTGGTTAGTTGGTGGGTATGTTATATATGTTTGGTTAGGGGGAATAAATTGGTAAGTATGTTATTTAAATTACTAAATTGTCTCTTTTTTAAATATTAATATAATATTATTTTTATTATTAATTTTTAAATAATTTTTTTTAACCCCAATATTTGAGATTTAGCTAAAACACTTTTGCTTATATAAGATTTTAATTTATGACAAAATCATCTCCACCCCTTGTTTTGCCTGTCGCCATTGCACACCATTGTTGGAAGTCTTCAAAAGTCGTTGTGAATAGTTCACCGTGACTATGAGGCTCTGATATGGTCATTTTTTTATCATATTGATGGTTGAAAACGGCCACATCTGTTGGAGAATGGTCAGAATAGATCTGGTCATTTTCGGCCAGATCTAGCCTGATATGGTCGTTTCAGTGAATCTCGGTCATTTTTAGGGACTCCGACGACTTTTTGGCGACGGTCCGTGGTGGTTTGCCTGCTGTCAGCAATGGTGGCTGGGTGACGATGGTGGTCTGTAATTTGTTTTAAATATAAGGGCATTATTGTCCAAAAACTTAATTAAACAATGGTAAAATTGAAATGGTATATTAATGTAAATTTATTTTAAAACAAGGACAATATTGTCCAAATTTTTTATTAATAAGAGATAGAATTGTAAAAAAAATAAGATTACCAAGGGAATCTTTAAATACTTAAGAAAATAGAGGTAATCAGATTACCCCCAATATTACTAACAGTAACAACTATTGGTAATGCAAGATTACCAGAATCTTATATTACTTGACAACCAAACATTATAATTAAGTAATATAAGATAACATAACTCCAGTAATCTTTCGTTAGCTCCAACTAAACACCCCCTCAAGAAATTGTTTTACGGTTAATTCTATTGATTTTAAATTGTGAGAATTATTTTATGGTTTGGTTGATGAAAATAATCATTGATTTATGATAAAACAATCGTTATGAGTTGATTTCATTGTTTTAGAACCTAACCCCTTAAGGGACCCAGTAAGGCCACTAGGTCTCGGGTTGATCGGTCAACCGGTAAAATTGGAAATTGGTGGTTTTTGGTGATCCAAAAAGTTTAAAACCTTACAAACACACCCTTAAAAAATACAAGTCAGTTCCTACAGGTTTGAAATCTAGCAAATAAACCCCTATGATTTGTTTAGGTTTTGACTTTTCCGACCAAATTTCAACTAATTCTGCGGGCCAAAATTCAATCCTACACCACCACTTGAACCATCGTCCTCCGCTCTACAAAACCCATCTAATCCAAGAACTTGGTAGCCCTCCATTCGTCAGCCGTGACAAGTATATACCATTGTGATTGGGTTGATTTTTCTAGTCAAATTCTGGCTGATTTTGACATCAAAAATTCAATCAAACACCACCACCTAAACCATTAGCCTCCAGTTTACAAGAATCCTCTAATCACGGCACTTGGTAGCCCCCCATTCGCGGGCTGTGACTCGCATATTGGGTTGAATTTTTTGGCTAAATTTCAGCGTCCAAAATTCAATCCGACACCACCCCTTGAACCAACGACTTCCACTCTACAAAAGTCTTCTAACCCTGACACTTGGTAGCCTCTCAAATTAGGGATCTTGTGAATAGTGAAAAATGGTATCCCAAATTGGAGAGGTTGTCGAGTCTCAGTTGGATCGGTCCGGGTTTTAAAACGGTGATGTGAATATGAAATTTGTGGTAAAAGACAAGAAACTGACACAAAAATGATAAAAGGAATGAAATTCCAATTAAACAAGAACACTAAAATTTGGTGATTAACATGAATCCTTTTAATAAATTTTCATAATTTTTGTGATTAATATTTAATTATTGTTGGAAAATCATATTTAACGTATGTATAATATCATGTATTTATTAAAATATATTTTTTTTTTGATAAAAAACTTAAGTAATTAACTAATTATTACCAAATAAGTGTAAAAATCTTAAACAAGATTAAAAAGAATACTACTTGTTATATTTACTATTGTAAAAAGATTAAAATATGAACACGTCCACTTCGTTCAGAATATATATTGAATACTAATACATGATATTTATAGAGATTTTTAATACTTTATAATAAAACGGTTAAATTTAATACGAAATTATTTCATAGGTTAATAAAACTTTACAAAAATTTGTCTAGAGCTGATATAAGGGGCTAAAATTTGGGCATGTTGAAAGTAATTGCAGATATGGTCCTAACTCCCAACCAAAATATCGTCATTGTCTTTCCCCGAACAAAAATCTTCCGTCAAGCTACTCTTAACTATAAACCAACAAGCTCAAATCCACTGAAGCCTTCCACACTCTCTCTCTTCAATGGCGCAAAATCTACCTCTGCCTCTTCTCCTCCCAAACCCACCGCCTACAAAGCCTCTCGTTCTTAACCAAAACCAACACAATCCTCAGTCCACAGCGCCCTTATCATCACAACAACAAACGACTTCACCACCTCCCTCTTTCACTCCTATTCTACAACCCTTTAACTCTCCATCTTCCATACCCAGAAACAGAACCCGAATTGGAAAGTCACTTGACGTTAACCGTGGGAAACCCTGGTTAAACCACCGCCTCTCCAGTAAAGGTCAGCGGGTTCTCCAGTCTTTAATTGATGAATCTTTTGATGTGAATGATATTGATAGTGTTCTGTTACAGTTATTTGAGTCTTATCGGGAAAACCTAGATGTAAAGATTGGTGCTTTGAGTTTTGATATTTTGGGTATTGTTAAGGGTTTAGGGTTTTACAAGAAATGTGACTTGGCGTTGAGCGTGTTTGAGTGGTTTAGGAGTCATAAAGATTGTGAGTTGGTCTTGAATGGTTCTCTTATAGCTGTAATTATTAGTATGTTAGGGAAAGAAGGAAAAGTTTCGGCTGCGGCTTCGTTGTTTAATAGTTTGCAGAAAGATGGGATTGATATTGATGTTTATGCTTATACTTCATTGATAAGTGCTTATGCTAGCAATGGGAGGTATAGGGAGGCTGTGATGGTGTTCAAGAAGATGGAGGAGGAGGGATGTAAGCCTACTTTGATAACTTACAATGTGATTCTGAATGTGTATGGGAAAATGGGTATGCCCTGGAATAAGATTATTACTCTAGTAGAGGGAATGAAGAATGCCGGAGTTGCCCCAGATTCTTATACTTATAATACACTTATAAGTTGTTGTCGGCGGGGTTCTTTGCATGAAGAAGCAGCTTGGGTTTTTGGGGAAATGAAATTAGCGGGTTTTAGTCCAGATAAGGTTACTTATAATGCCTTGTTGGATGTTTATGGGAAGTCTAGGCGGCCTAAAGAAGCCATGGAGGTACTAAGGGAGATGGAGGTTAATGGTTGTTTACCCAGTATTGTGACTTACAATTCATTGATATCAGCTTATGCCAGAGATGGTTTGTTGGAAGAGGCGATGGAGCTTAAAAACCAGATGGTGGAAATAGGGATTAAGCCTGATGTTTTTACTTACACCACCCTCTTATCAGGGTTTGAGAAAGCCGGGAAGGATGAGTCCGCAATGAAGGTTTTTGAGGAGATGAGAAGTGCAGGCTGCAAGCCAAATATTTGTACTTTTAATGCTTTGATTAAGATGCATGGGTACAGGGGAAAGTTTGTGGAGATGATGAAGGTTTTTGATGAGATCAAGACATGTAATTGTAACCCGGACATTGTTACTTGGAACACACTTCTGGCAGTATTTGGGAAGAATGGGATGGACTCGGAAGTGTCAGGAGTGTTCAAGGAGATGAAGAGGGCAGGTTTCATTCCTGAGAGGGACACTTTCAACACCCTAATAAGTGCATACAGTCGTTGTGATTCTTTAGAACAAGCCATGGCTGTTTATAAGAGAATGCTGGAAGCTGGGGTTACACCAGATCTTTCCACCTACAATGCTGTTTTGGCAGCATTGGCTCGGGGAGGGATGTGGGAACAGTCTGAGAAAATACTTGCTGAAATGAAGGATGGTCGGTGTAAACCCAATGAGCTAACATATTGTTCTCTGCTTCATGTTTATGCCAATGGCAAGCAGATTGAGCGGATGCTTGCTCTTGCAGAAGAGATATTCTCTGGTCTGATTGAACCTCATGTTGTGCTCTTGAAGACCCTTGTTTTGGTCAATAGTAAAAGTGATCTCCTTATAGAAACAGAGCATGCCTTCTTAGAGTTGAAGAAAAAAGGATTTTCCCCTGACATAACCACTCTAAATGCCATGATTTCGGTTTATGGCAGGAGGCAGATGGTAACCAAAACAAATGAGATCTTGAACTTCATGAATGAGAGTGGGTTCACTCCTAGCTTGACAACCTACAATACCTTGATGTATATGTACAGCCGTTCTGCAAATTTTGAGAAGTCTGAAGAGATGTTAAGGGAAATTTTGCAAAAAGGATTGAAACCTGATATAATATCATATAATACTGTCATTTATGCCTATTGTAGAAATGGTCGGATGAAAGAGGCTTCGCGGATATTTTCAGAAATCAGAGATTCTGGCCTTGTTCCAGATGTAATCACCTACAATACCTTTGTTTCAAGTTATGCAGCTGATTCATTGTTTGTGGAGGCTATTGATGTGGTTCAATACATGATCAAGCAAGGATGTAAACCAAACCAGAACACATACAACTCCATTGTAGATGGTTATTGTAAACTCAATCGTCGAGATGAGGCAATCATGTTTGTCAACAATCTTTCCAAGCTTGATCCACACACGTCTAAGCGGGAAGAATGCAGGTTATTAGACCGTATAGCGAAGAAATGGTCATAGACATTCCTCTTCTCCAAAGGGATGGCAGTTCAGTTTGTGTGCTTTTTCAGTGTCAGACACTTGTGCATCCGGTATTTTGTTTCTCATCTTGTGCCCAATTTGTATATTGTTTTGGGCTGGAGATGAACAGGAATGTAATTATTTGTACTCAATTCTACTGTTTCTCCAGGAACCATATTTTTGGTCTATGTATATGGCCAATCGGGGACCTTGTATATATGAGATAAAAGATGAAGAGAGGGGAGGATTATGAAATTGACTTCACAGCATGTGCAGTCAACCTAAGTACCAGTGAAATATAAATTGATACGTTCTGTTGACATATGTTTCTATGTAAATTTTTCGTTAAAATAATATTTTTGATAGGTTCTACATTTGCTGTAATAGGATATGACTATTATCAATTGTAAAATCGTATTACTAAATTTTATGTTAAATTCATTATAATACTTTTAAAGGTAAAAAGGAAAATTTATTTATTTGCTAGATGAGCGGGGGATTTGCGTGAGGGCTCTCTCATTTTAGAACACCTTTTTTATTTTTATTTTTTCTTCAGAAGTAGTCCATGAATTTTGATATACGTGTAACAGCATTCAAAGGTATATTATACAGTAACATCCAAAATATTATACAATCCAATAGATAATATATACATGCCGCTGAACAATCAACCCTGGATTTGGTAAGTTCTGGTTGCCCGGATTACGCAAAAGCTACAGTCTAGTAAGTTTCGATGGTAAAATAGAACTAAACCTTCCATAAATGTGTCAAACGGTGCAGTGTTTAATTTTTGGCCATAAATATAATCAGTTGATCACCAAAATGATGCTTTCTATAAACCAAATTGCTAAAAAACATATGGAAGACTCCTTGAAAGGTCTTTGATTAAGAATAACTAAAGAATAAGATCCAATGTGGTCCTAGTTTTCCCCCACATACAATGCACCGGTGATGAGTAGGAACTAGAAGCAGTAGGTGCTGCAAAGGCAAGTAAATACAATCATTCCATCAAAACTAAGAAATAGTCATCTCCTTTTGTGTAACTAGTCATATACATTCTAAAGCTTCCACATAACATACATAAATCTTAAACATGAACATGCCAGGCGTAGATACAAATATATCTTACATCCTACAGACAATCAATCAATGCTTCTGATTGTGTCTCTTCAAACACTACCTCATGTCTAAATTCGAAAATGGAGATTTCAATCCGCAGAAGTTAGAGTTTTGCAAGCAATAGGGCCAGCTGCTCATCAGATACCTTAATTTCAATGCATGCTCCCAGTGCCGCAGCAAGCCTTGCAGCTAACTGATGCTTACACTAGAAGAGAGAAAAGCTAAAGAATAAGAATGTGAAAAGAGAAAGATAATGCTACAGATATACGAATATAACTAATTAGCAGTAATGGGATCTTACAAAAAGTTGCTCTCCCTTGTTCACAATGTCATAGAAGAATGAGTAACAGGCACAATAATGTTCTGCAAAACAGTAATACTCCTCTTTCCTCCGTGATTCTCCCATAACCTATGACACCAAATAAACTAGAAACCATGTTTAAAACTTTTCCAGTTTCCTTAGTAATCATACAAACAACTTTGCCAAAATTGAAAGGGGAGAATCAGTACCCCAATCTAACTTTGCATGAATTAATTTATATTTATAGACAAGTCTTGCCAACCAAACTTTCCCAAAACTCCAACAAAAAAGTATCGAATTTCAGCTACATTTCCAAATTGAAGGCCGAATTATTTCCAGTAAATGTTAGGATTAGATCCAAGAAATAAAATCAACCTGAAAGATGAATCGGCTGCTAGGCTCACCAGAGATCGTCTTGACACCCTTTTGATCAACGATTCTAGTTGCTTTCTCCAAATTTTTACCAAACAAGAAGTACAAGCTGCATTTATGGATACAAACACTTATTCACCAGAACAGAAATATATGCTACTTTTATCATACTAAAAATAATAATAATAAATCGAGAGGGAAAACAAGTACACTCACGTTGAGAGCTGATCCTCACTCACTGTAATGAAATCATTCGTGCAAGTGAACATGAGAAATTCTACACTGAGATTATGAGTCAAAAGAGCAAAATTACAAATATATAGACCTGAACGAGTTGATTCAATGCTTTTCCACAGTGACTCTGCAACCAAACTGCTTGCACGCATTTCTTGGCTAGATTTAACCTACAAAAGTGTTTTTAAAATACTTTCCTTGTGTCTGAAACAACAAGAGTTCAGAAAGCAAAAGGAAGAAGCTTGACGAATCAACTTATGAGGAACTGTAAATAACTACTTAGGGTTTTATTTGATTCAGCAAAATCCCGAAAGGGCTTGTCTTGGTTGCGGAGAAAAACTATGAGGAAAAGCAATTAAAAGGGTTAAATGGGATGTGGGAGATTGGAAGTTTTCTTTTCCCACCATTCTCAGCAACCAAACATCAAGTAGAGAAAATTTAGCTGCCCGGCCATCCCAAGTTTCGATTTAAGAAAATAGTTTTGAAATTGTTTTTCATTTTTTTTGTTTAATTTAGAGAAGATGACGTAGTTAGGATTAATTAAACACGTAAAATAGGTTAAAATGAAAAGATTAAAACATATGTGGGTCGAATTAGAAATAATGAAAATTTTTAAAATTTGAAATTTCTCGAAACAAGCCCCACTATTCACCTCGCTTAATCGAAATTCATTAGGGCAAAAATCGATATCTTGAACCAAAGGGAGACGTGATTTTTTCCGATCGAACACTTACAAATTTGCACCCTAAATCAATTTCTTGAACCCTAAATCGAATACAGTCGCGATTTCCGGCGATATAGTCGCGATTTCCGATCGATTTGTTGAACCCTAAAATCGATTTCCTTAACCCTAAACGGAATCTGTGCGATTTCCGACGATACAGTCCACATTTCCGATCGAAACTGCAAACTTTGACACCAAATTCAATACAAAACCATGGCTGACACTCACAATGAGGAGGAAAACCCAACGCCACTTCGAATCCTAGATTCTGGTGGCGCAACCAGTTCAATGGCTACTCCGGTGGATCATTCGATCAGTGAAGGTGGTCCACACGCAGAGGAGACGCCGGCGGCACAAGAACAGAGGGAAGAACCAGCAAACGGTTTTGAAGACGAGGAGTCAAGCTAGAATTCAGGTCAGGAGGAGGATTCCGGCGAGAATTCAGGCCAAGAGGAGTCATCCGAGGATTCAGGCAACGAGGAGGAGGCCGGCGAAGAAAGGGTATGTTGTTTGGGAATATTGCTTGTACTATCGCTTAAGCGATCATTTGTATTGCTTAAGCGATTAATCTATTTTACTCATGATCGCTTAAGCGATCATGAGTGTTTACTCTTGGTCGCTTAAGCGATTTCAGATCGCTTAAGCGATCTTGTTGAGGCAGAATCACAGATATAATAAGCGATCTTTTGTATCGCTTAAGATATTTTCAGTTTACTCCTGGTCGCTTAAGCGATTTCAAATGAAATCGCTTAAGCGATCTTGCACGAGGCAGAGTCAAGATCTCTTAAGCGATCCGAAATCGCTTAAGCGACTACAGTGGTAATTTTTTGTTGCTGATATTTTGTTTATTAGTTGTTTTGGTTTATTTTTGTTGCTGACATTTTGTTTATATCGATTGTGCAGATTGTGCGGACCATAAACTGTAGAGACTACAAGTTGGAGCCTATAAGTGAGAAGGTACCCTACTTCCCTGCAAGGGTGACGGTGAGGTCGAGTTGGGAGGTTTTTGACAGAATAAGGGCCATTTTAGCTGGAATGAGGCGTGGTGAAAGAGATTTCGGTCGCACTTGTTTCGGTCAGTTTTTAAGAATTGGAACAAATTGGAAAAATGCATTTTGGGGGCAAGGAGTGCATTACATGTTGATGCACTCAGTAAAATGCAACAAAAAAAAAAAATGAAATGTGGTTCGTGGTGGACGGAAAGCCACTACGGTTTGGGATGATGGAGTATGCCTTGGTGATGGGCTTAGGATGCAGGGAAGTGCCAAATAAGGCGAAGGCAAACGCAATAAGGACGAGTCCGGGAGCCATAAGGTTTCGTAATAAGGTTTTACAGGGGGCAAAGTCTATTACAGGACATGTTTCAGAGGAGAGGCTAGAAACAGTTCGGTTTAATGATGGAGAGAAGATAAAAGTGTGCTTGCTATTGTTTTTACATTCTATCTTATTGGTTGGTGACTCAACAAAAGCTATTGAGAAAGATTGGTTGTTGTTTGCAAGCGACTTGGAGTTCTTTAATTCTTATCCGTGGAGACGGATATCGTTTGAGCGAACCATCAAGAGCCTGAAAAAACCAGACATGGCGTTAAAGCATGCCGAATGGGCGGGAAGGCTAAACCAAGCACCTATAATTTGTTTGGCTTCCCATGAGCAATGTAGGTAAATATTAATAGCTCTCTGTTATATTTTTTTATAATATATGTGTTTGAATTATGATATGGACTGTTTTTTACAATGTAGGCTTGGATGTACGAGGCCATCCCTGTCTTCGCTAAGGTGGGGGGAGGAGCAACAGTTTGGATGTTAAACAGTAATTTCCTAGGATGTTGCGGTGGCATGTCGGGAAGTGTAACCATTCAGATTACGGCCAAATAGAGATTGAGATTCAAGCGGCTGGGGTAAGATTAAAGGATTAAGCTTTTGAATATGCAGTTGCTTTTTGATTTTGCTTCAATCTGATTGATTTTGTTTCTTATTGCACGGAGTCATCCGTCCCTTTCTCACCGCTATTGAGGATGAAGTGGAAGAGGAATATGTCACATCTTTTAAAGCAATGAAGGATGAAAGAGATGAACGGATAGACCGCCTGATGTGGGACCTAAAAGGGGTCACGCATGTGACTGCAGTTGCAGGGCCATTGCTTGACAATGTCGTTGATGCCGAGGATTATGAAGCTCTAATGGGCGGGAGGCCCGAGGATGAGGAGGAGACGAGGGAGGAAGAGGTTCATATGCCTCAACAAACCGGTACAACAAGTACCACTTTGCCGAGACATCGACGTCGGGAGAATGAGATTGTGGACCTCATAAACGGTCTGTTTGAGAGTTTTACAATAGCCGTTTATGCAATGTTTGACAAGATGGAAGAGTGCATGAAAAGGTTGGAGGAGAAAGTGGATAAGCTGGGAGAGAAAGTTGGTACAGTGGAGGCGGAAGTTGGTGGAGAATTAAAGGCGGTTGAAGTGCAAACTGGCTTGGAAAGAGAGAGCCGAAAGAGCAAGTTTGTGAAATCGCCTTACATGATAGTGACACAGGTAAAGAAGAAGAAAATTAAGAAACAAATGGAGGAAGAACCAGAAATGGAGGAGTTTGAGGAGGTTGGTGGAGGAACTGGGGCAGTGATAATGAAGGAGGGCGAGGTGGGAGGTGAAGGAAGCGGGGATGTAAAAATGGAGGAAGGGGGAGGAAGTGGGCAAGGGAAATTGGACTCAAATGTCGATTTGTATAGGCCAATGGAGGAAAAGAAAAAACTCTTTTATGCCTATTACAATGGATCAGGAAGTAATGGCCATATAAAATGTAAGACAGGGGATTATCCTCGGGAATGGTTTGAGAAGTTGTTGACGATGGGCACGTGGCTTGAGGACTCGGTAAGTTATTTTCGCTTAATTTTTCTTATTTTTGCCTATGCTTTCCATACTTATTTTGTTGTTTTATTTGATGTAGCACATCGATGAGATATTGGCACTGATGAGGCTACGATAGACTACTGATGGTGATCTGTTGTATCCCGACTGTGCTATCACCAATGTGGCATTTGGCCAAACGCTTGTTTTGGCATATCGCACTTTAATTAAAAATGTCGTTGCTAGTGGTGCAACAAAAGGACCGAAGCGAAAAAGATTGGCCCCACAACAGCTGGATTGCATCCCTGATGATTTCCAGTTTGATGATAGGATTATGCAATACGTACGGGGGAATCGGTCCAAATATGGCCACGGTTGGGCCTTTGTTAAAAGAGTGTACTGCATCATCCTTGTCAAACAGATGCACTGGATAGCAGTCATCGCGCATCTAGAGGAGGGGTTGCTAAAGATCATTGGCTGCAACCCAATTATTTGTCAAGACAAGCAGTTGGAGGTCGAGTTGGAGCCATTGTCCAGGTTGTTCCTGCGGCTGTTGCATGACAGTGGGATGTTTGGGCACTTGGGTGATCAGGTACTAACCGAAAAGTGGCCAGTTAAGCACTCTTCCTGCCCAATAAATGAGTCAAGGTAAATTTTGTATAAAACTAACTTACATAATACAATTGTTCTATAAGTTTATTCTAATGCTAATGTCTTCTTCTTATTGTAGTGCTGAATGTGGGGCATATGCCCTGAAATTTATTCAGTTCGACATGACTAACAGCTCGATAGACAACTTGAATGACGAAACAATGAGAGACTGTCGGGAGCACTGGGCTGTCAACTGCTTCCATGGGCAGATGGATCCGTTTTGAGTGACCAGAACCCAATCAAAAGGTATGAAAGTTGGACTCTGAATTTTGTAGTTTATGTGATATTGATGTTCATACTTGGGTTGCGGTGTTGATACTGCTGGTGTAATGCTTATATGGAGCTTTACCAAAAGAGACGGACTGAGTGAACTTCTCACCTACCCACTCTGTAACTTTTTTACGTGTTTTTTTTTATTTACAAAAGCTGATGTGTCTGCAGGTGTGTGCTGGATATTTTTTGCAAGTTCCTGGTAGGTTGTTGGCAAACAGAATTCGAAAACTTCCCAAAGGTTGGTTGGCAGGAGGAGGCATCTGCAATAAAGGGATTGTGCAAAGGTGTTAGTGATATTAAACTCTTTGGCATAAAAAAGTAAATTAAAGGCAGTGTATAAGAAATTGTAAATAATTTACTATGTATAGTGTGATTATTATAAAGAATTGGATCTGACATTTGAGAGATATTTTTGTTTGTCCATATAAGATAATTCATTAGCAGTTTGAATTTACTATGTATGGTGTGATCATTTGCTGCACCCAAGTTGGATAATGGTTTTTTAGCGTTTTGTTTCATTTTGTGTATCAGTACAATGTGTAATGTACTGGTGTGATTATTTGATTCACCACAGTTGGGGGTAATGGTTAGCTTGTCCAAATATTTTGATATCTGCTGCATCCCATGCCTATTTTTTATTTTGTGTTTTGATAAACAGGTTATATTGATGTCTCTTATATTTTGATTTGTGATGAATTAGATTGATATAAATTACTTAATTTTGCGATACAAATTCTTTTCGGATTTGGGAGGGAAATGAGTGATGTACAAATGTTTCCCAATAAAAGTCATTTAAAAATTAATTAACTTAAAGAAAAACAAGGTACCAAACAATTACGTATATGACAGACCACATATATCTCTTAAACGACCAAGACTTTTCCAGAAACGATCGCTTAAGCGATCTCAAATCGCTTAAGCGACCAAGAGTCTATTACGAAGCATAGCTTAAGTGATACATATGATCACTTAAGCGATTACCCATCTGGGT